CATTGCCACGAAAAAAAAAGCGGACTTTAACAAAACCAAAAAAAAAAAAAAAAAAAAAGCAAAAACACACAGAAGAAACATTTAAACAAACAGTAACCAGCAAAGATGAAGCCTCTTTTCACAAATATTCAGTCGTTATAAACTCTAAACCAAGAACCACAACAATGATTTAAACTTCCTTTGACCCTGTAATAATAAAAAAAAACTAACTTTTTCCACTTTCAGCCTGCGAACATGCAAACACGCAGGCAACATGGAGGATATTTTACACAGCTGTTCAAATTCAAATTCAAAAACTAGTTAATTTCTGAGTTAGTAAGGGAAAACAAATATATTCACATTTTCATCTCACAATGAACAGAAAAACGGATTGTTTTGCACTTACATGCAGCGATATAATACAGTGTAGCTTTAAGCTGAATTGTTTGTCTCTTTTTTTTCTTTCTTACTCTCTAATTTGAGCGAAATGTAGAAATGCTCTGGATTTAACTGGGCAGCTGAACGTGTGTTTGTGGCAATGATTTCATCTAACAACCTAAAACATTAACATTTATTTCTCGCCATCCCTCTTCCACAGACCGGTTCATGATTTCTCCATGTGACATTTTCCACAAACTGAGTAGCTCCTTCAGTAACGCGTCGTTGGAAGAATCTGCTGCGTTGGATTAAATATTCATGCTTTAGGGAGTTTCAGAGGTGGCTGCGTTTAAATGATGTGATGGCTGGCGCTGCGTGACGTAACATTCATTGAACAGTTGCTGCAGAAGGATTATTACTGATTAAAAGTCTAGATAAAAGTGTAACCGAATGCACTTAAGAGAACAGTGGATTAAATGCACTTAGCTGCTGATTGCATCCGATCAGTTCATACAGGTGCATCTCAGTAAATGAGAAAATCATCGAAAAGTCAGATTATTTCAGTAACTCGATTAAAAAGTGAAACTAAATGGTGTTAATTTTGAAGATCTTGGCTTATAGCAAAACATTGCTGTGTGGAATTAATTTATATTTCACTTTCTGGGCTAAATTACTGAAAGAAACGGACTTCACAAAGACACTGACTTATTGAGAGGCACTTTCTGTATTTCTGTACATCTGAACGATTTTGCAGCTGAATGCTTCGATAACTGAAACCAGAAACTGTACAGAACTGCTGACCTCAGCGGTACCGAGAGATTTAAACACGTTTTTCTCAAGAAATATCAGAATATTTACATGTTGCGACTGGAAAACATTAATCGACTCCCCAGATTGTGCGCATTTTTTACACTACAACCGAGACTTATGTACAGGAATTTGCTTTTGAAGACAAACTACATTTTTATTTTCCTTATAGTCGATACTAGAGTGCACTAAAGACATTTTAGCAGCTTTTACATACAAGCAGAAAGAATCAACATAAAATTCTCCTGTTTGTCATTTCCTATGCAAAGGTAGCTTTCTTCTTTTCAGATTGATGTCATCGTTTTCTTCTTATATACACACAATTCAAATCTTTGACCAGGTCAAAACATTTAAACTATGTTGGCAAAGTCACCAAAAAAAAACGCGGGGATACCTGGAGGTACCTCTTCCGGCTGGAAAGAAAAGGGAGGAAGACTGGCTTCAGGTCTCTTCCAGCTGACAGCGGAGAGTTAGCGGCCGACGCGTGAAGGCACTTCCCGGTAAAGCTTTCCGCAGACTAGCACCTGGGATTGTTTCAAAGTAACCAGTAGAAGCCCTTTGTAAAGGTGAGGGGTCTTAAAGGTTCCCCAGTCACAGAAGCGTGAAGCTTAAGATGTATTGGAGGAGTTTATTCCGGTTGGCCTGAGGTTGAAAGGTGCTGCTGAGCTCCAGAACTGACACTCGGTTTTCTTGCCTTTCCTTCAGGACCTACAGAGTCGTCCAAACAGAGGAGATAAAAGTTAAAGCTTCACTCTGAGCCTCTGAAGTCTGCAGAATAAGCATTAAACATGCGCACCCCAAGCTCTTTGAATGTCTTCACCGTGTTCTTAACCAGATAGTGAGTTGCACTTTCACCTGAAAAAGAAAATAAGACATAAAGTTAATCAAGCAAACAAGAAAGAACTTGATTTAATAAATAACACTTTATGCCTGTAACTGTTAAGGATACAAAGTCTATTTTTTGACAACAAAGCTTGACAAATATTCACTTTTCATTCTTCAATAAATGCATTCTTTCACACTAGATCAACTTAGCGTGCAAAGAGACAGAGCAACATCATAATAACTGAGGAAAAACCTATAAAAGTATCTAGAAATGGAAACCTGCTGTCACTCAATGAGTTTCTAAAACCCAGAACTCTGTAAAGGTTTTGTTTTTCAGATTTCTGCTTTACAAAGTAAAGTCACTTTTTAATCCCTAATGACTTCAAATTACATGATAAACAGAAAAATAATAACTCACGATTAATTTAATGTTTTTGTAATACTCAAAGTTATCTTGAAGTAGCATTATAATACATCGGCTTCACAAATTCTTCACTAACATGGTGATGATCTTTGATGAAGGAGGAGAAACTGCAGCAACGCTAGCTTATCCCACTGTTTGTTGACATGCACTGGTTGATGATTCATAAAATGCTCTTTGTGGGTCTGAATATTTGCTTGATAAACAAAACTTATAGAAAGTTTATAAATTCAGCACTTTGATCCACAAAATGATGCAGATGAAATGTTTTGTTAACAGATGAAGAGAGAATGCATCGCTCGCTCGCTCATTCAATGCTGCTAGCATTTAACACTTAGCAACAACTCACAGGCTGCGCAACACAAATAATCACCCGGTGCCTTAATTAATTAAACATAATGTAATGAAGATAAATTATGTTTATTAAATTTTCCTGGAGGAACTTTAATAATCAAGGTGCTGGAATAATTCAGGGAGTCGTTGCAGCCCTAATGCACTGAACAATAAGTAAGTACGACCAATAACGCAGTGAGCATTTCCCTGGACAGACAGCAGAGTATGGGTGCAGTCCTACCATAAGCAGCCACGCCTCTCTCTGTCCGTGTCAGCAGGTATTTGAAGAGCCTCAGGGTGAAGTCGGACTCAGGCATCGGTTGACTCAAGCCGTGAACAAACACGGCGGCGCCGCTGTAGGCCTCCAGTACTGGACTGAGCAGGCGCTGCAGGAAGATGAAGAACTCCTGGTGCTCTGCTGCCAGGCTCACCTGGTTCAGGAAAACGATAATCACCTATGTGGCTCTTGGAAGTGACTTCAAAAGTTGAAACATTTTGAGCGGCTGCGTGAGAGCAGACCTTCACGTAGCGATCTCGCTGCTCCTCCCCAAAGTCGCTGTCTTCATCCTCTTCGTCGCTTCTCCAGGAGAGCGGCTCGGAGAACTTCTTAGGCCAGGGTTCCTCGGTTGGGCTGGAGTTCATTTCCTCCTGGTCCTCCTGAAGCACAAAAACAAAACGAGAAGAAATGGGAAAAACGCTTCAATGCACCACAAATCTGGAACAAACCTCCAGAAAACTGCAAAGACGCTGAAACACTGAATCCCACCTGCTTAAATCTGCCTTTGATTCATAATAACTGGAACATATTTGATAAAAATA